CCACACACTGGTCAGGTTTACTAATTAATATTTGTGTATTACTCACAAGGAAGAAAAAAACTGCATGGGCTATAAGTTCTAACTTGGCAAAGTAACTTGATATTCAAATGAATGTTGTTGCAGCAGCCACATCTCCACTTACAGAGCTAGGTTATTGTTTTTCTTTTAAATAAATATTCATGTAATTTTATTGGTATCTATCTTCATTTTGTACATTTACCAGTAGCTGCCTCATTTCCCACCCTCGGCTTATATTCGAGTCAATACTTTTTCCCAGTTTTTTGTGGTAAAATTAGGTACCTCGGCTTATATTCGGGACGGCTTATACTCGAGTATATACGGTAGTTAACTTTGAATGGGACACACAAGGTACATTTGTGTGGTCCCAAACACAGACTTGTACTTGTGTGTAAACCTGTTTTTGGGGTAGTCAGTATTTGAAGAGACTTTGTCTTAAACGAAAAGAATTGCAGGTAAAATAACAGAAAAATCAAGTATTTTAATTTCTTACTTGCAGTGTTTTTCCTTTTTGTAATTTTTTTTTAAATTCAGGGTCCATTTACACCATTTGGGATCAAGCTACGCTGGCCGTTGTTTCCAGTGCAGCCCCAAGGCGAGACGAGGCAATTTGCCTTGTCACAGATGGTGTGTGCTGAAAAAAGTAAGGCATGCCTTACTTTTTTCAACGCATCGGGATGCGACGCAGTACAACTGCCTCAAACCCTGATGTGCCCATAGAACTGAACGAAATGCCACTTTTGACATTTCAGTAAAGTGCTAACAAAAAAAGAGAACATAATGTGCTGTGATCAGCGTTTCGGCACTGTACCCAGGCAACGCACACCAGACGCTGTGCGATTAGTGCAGTGTCTGGTGTGAATGGGCTCTAAATTGCAAAGTGCCTTTGAACTTGCTAGCAAATTTGACTACTTTAGGAAAAGTCAATTCCCTAGCACCCTCCTTCCCCCCCATCCTTTTCATGCCATTACCCTCTCCTCTTGTTGGAGTGTCCTAGTAACTCTCTGTGCTGGCCCAGCTCCTTTACTCCTACCTTAACCTCCCTACATCTGTGGCAGCAGAGCAAGGAGAAATACTGTAAACGGTCACTTGACTGCCAGCTCTGAGCTTCCTAGAGCTGCTGACATCACATCCAAGATGGCGGTGCCCAGCAGCAGTCACAGGTACATACCATGCCTGTTAAATGAAAATATAATCTTATGGCAAGATTGCTGTTACAATGAATGATCTGATGAACAGGTTTTTTTAAAGGGCCGGTGCACACCTATGCGACACCCCACCGATTCCATACGGACAACGATCCACAATCCAGAAATTGACAAATTGATCATGGCAGAAGAAGGCTGCAGAACAACACAGGGTCCATCTTACAGGATACCTTGCCTGGGTAACACAGGGTCCATCTTACTGCATACCTTGGCTGGGTAACACAGGGTCCATCTTACTGCATACCTTGCCTGGGTTTACCCAGGCAAGGTATGCAGTAAGATGAACCCTGTGCTGTTCTGCAGCCTTCTTCTGCCATGATCAATATGTCGATTTCTGAATTGTAGATCGGTGTCTGCTTTTTGAAGACCTTTTATTTACCACTTGATTGTGAGTACATTTTTTTTTTTTTAGCATATCAATTTTTATTGTTATTATAGCAGGTTACATAGTGATGAGACATTTTCATAAAGAAATCAGAATGTGTTCACAACATGTGGTGAGGATAAAATACAGGACCATATACATTGCCGCAAATTTAACATGCGTGTGTAGCATAGGGAACTTCACCTTGAGATATATAGTCCATAGATCGCTATGTGAAAACAGAAATAAGCAAATCATCAATTGAAAGGACGAAGAAGAAGGAAAAAAAAAATATAAAAGATATCAATACTGTAACTGAAACTGATCCTGGATCATTCAAGTGGATGTTCTGATGAAAGGAATCGCTGGATTACTGGATGGGGGAGAGATCGTAGAACCACTTTTTTGTAGAGAGAGCCTAAGGAATGTAGGGGAGTCGTAAGGACTATCAGAGAACATCTAGTGCTCCGAGGGATCCTTCAAGTTTGGCGTGGAGAATCCATGAGGAGTATTGGAAGGTAGTCATAATATCTTGTAATTGTTGTGCAGGGAGTTCAGACGTTAAATACCTGGACCAGGTATCGAAGAATCTACCCGTGAGATGAAAATCGAACTGTGCGCTTAGTTTATCCAGTAGCATGAGTCTGTGAATTATGATATTAAATGTACTGAGTGTGGGCAGAGTAGGAGATAGCCAGTCAGTCAAGATGGCCTTCTTCGCACTTAAGATGCAGAGGTGTTCCCAGCGAGTGAGGGAGGGATGTGGTGTGACAGAGTCTGGGGAAGGGAAGTGAAATAGGCAGATGTCAGGGTAAGGCATTCTCTGTCTGTCCGATTTCATATTCATGAAGGCAATGATTTCGGTCCATAGGGATTGGATAAAAGGACATAGCCATATAAGGTGGGTTAGGTCAGGCAACGGTAATTGGCATTTTGGACAATGGGTCAACCAGTCTGGAGGGTTATTGGGTGAGTTAAAGTTGAAGCCATAATAGGCTCTGTGAATCACTTTGAATTGTACTTCCCTCCATGCTTCACTAGTTATAGCTTTCCTCAGGTGTCTCCAACCTGACAGTATGACAGAATGTGTGTCTTCTGGAGTTAGGAGTAGCAGGTCGGCCCACTTGGCTATGTAGGAAGGAAGGGCCGGAGGTAGTGATGAGGCAGTGTGGGAGTATATGTGTCGGTACAAAAAGGAAAGAGGTAGTTTGCGGTTGGTGAGGAGAGTAGCGTGCGGAATTGGGAGTATTGTAGTCCAGTGCAAGCGGGAGGGAGGTTTTTCAGCAGAAAGTGATGTATCTGGGCGTGCTGCAAGAAATGTGTAGGGGGAACGCGGTGTTCCTTGCACAAGGTGAGGAGGGTCTTGCAGTGTCCCTGAGGTGTCAGTATGTCTTGCAGGGTATGGATACCCAGAAGTTCCCAGCCCCTGAAAGCTTTTGAGTCGAGCCCGGCTGGGAAGGTGAGTACATTTTATGCTCTTTATTTCGTATAATAAGTAATCTATGCTAGGAAAGGCGCCCTCTGTGTGTTTTTTTATTTTGTCAGTTTTTCTCTTCTGTTCATTGTAGGACATCTTGAGTGGAGATCTTGAGTTCTTACTGATGGGTTATACTGCAGGAGTAGGGTGCTAGGCACAAAATATAAAGCACAAACCAGGGGTGGCCCCTACTGGTGGCCAAACCTCCCATCTGCTAGAGGCAGCTCAGTTTTTTGCCTAGTGTCAAGGAGTATGGACCTAGTTCCCTAAAGGGGAACTTAGTTCCCTGCTTTTCTTTTTTTCAACATAATCTGAAGTTGGTCAATGGCTTCTCATATTTCTTGTCAAGCAGGGACATTACAAAGCTGACAGACACACACCTTCATGTGTGATGTGTGAAAGGAAATAGCTGTGTAGAATTGTTCCTGTGTCTACCTACAGTACACTTTATTCTGAGGAAATAAGTTTTCACCTGGCTATGTAAGAATGACATTTCAATAAGACGTTCATTGGAGAAACAACATGGGACATTTTAGAGGAAAAAAGGATAATGCTTAATATGTATTTCCAAATTGGGATGTCATTGAATTTCAAACAGCCTTTTTTTTTTCTGAAAGCAGTGTCTAAAATGTAAAGTGATCTGCTGCCACCACAAGGCTGGTCATTAACATGCTATATAAATACGTAGAAAACACATTAGGATGCATATTAAAAAATATGTTACGAAGGCTATTGGAATGAATATAGTGCTGATGGTGTCAGCAATCAATCACATTGCCTTGGGGAAACAAAAGAAGCAATCTGATTGGATATTATGTCCACATTCTTCTTGCCCAATTTCCTTAGCTCCAGTTTTAGGCCTCATTCACACCTGAGCATTCTTTTGCGTGCTTCCTGAAGCGTAACAACGTTCTACATGGAGAATCCCATTATTTTCAGTAGTGCCTGTTTACACCTAAGCATTACTTGTTATCTAAAAATGTACATGAATGTTTTCATGCCTACCAACTATACCTAGCTTTACTTTGGCTAAAACAAAAACGCTAAAACAAAGTGCAAAATAACACTTAAGGGATTATCACTAAAGGGTGAAGAGTTTGGAGAAGGCAGGAGAAGTGGACAATCTAGGTCAACATAGCTAATTTGGAAAAATTCCCCAATTCAGCTCACTTTCCAGTTCAGCTATGCTGTCTTTTAAAGCCATATAAAGAGACTGGAGAAGAGAAAGCTATCTGTTACTAAGAACAGTCAGTCAGTTTCCAACTTTAAATTAGGAAAAAAAAAATTAGAGTATTTGTTTTTAAATAACTAAGCCCCTCTTGAACCAGTTTTGCAGAAGATATAGTAAAGGAATATCAACTTCTTTTTTATGCACAACAGCGCCATATAGTGGCCACAATCTGGTATTTTCCAGATATTACATTTGACCTGGAAAGAGAATACATAAAATCTCTGTTGCTTACCTGTTTTTAATACAGGAGATTTATTTCTGAATAAACCTATTGTAGGTTTCTTAATGTGTCTCACTTACAGAGAGCTGTTGTATCAAAGTCTCAGCAGTAAGGATTTTCTCAGTCACAAATCAGATTCAACCCTGTTGAGGTATATTGAATCTGATTGATGCAGGCTGCAGAAAATAAGGAAGCTACAATAGCTTAGGATTCAGAATGCTAATCCATCCTCCTTACATGTGAGGAACTCTGGAATTGGGCTGCAATCTATGACATACAACTATAAGAAAATGACTTCATGACTGAAGTTTGGTTGCAGTTTATAGCAGCTCACTGATTGATCTAACATCTTGCCTGGAATAGCTCCTTAACCTTTTTTGGTGGGTTTCTTCTGTGTCTTCATATCCATGTAAAGGATCTAGCAACATGCAAAAATGTATGACAAATATACACATAACAACTCTATCTCTTCTCTGTACCAGCCCTTTGAAGATTTTACATCTGGCATTTGAAGCCCTTCAGGGATTAGAATACATGAACCGTCACCATATGGTCCACCGGGCACTTTGTCCTCATAATATCCTGCTGGATGGAGAGGTAAGGAGTGATGTGATCAGTAGAGAGCATGAAAAGATCACTACGCTTTCTGAATGTGATGCCATAATAACCACTGCCATATGTCCTTAAGTGGCATTGATGAATTAGAGGCACAAACAATGATTTATCTACATGACACACAATGAACAGATCATTTATTTCTGTGCTAAGGCACGGCTATTCATTTCATGAACAGCAATGCACACCTACCTTGATTGCCCCTTTAAAAAAAAGGACTAATGAAGGTTTTTTGTTTTTTTTTGCTACCAGTCATCTTAGAATCCACCAATCAACCAGTTATGTGTCAGAAAAATATTGTGGTTATATTGACTATATTGCCATAATCCAATATACAATGTAAACATTTGAGTATGTCACATAATCATATTAGACCAACAGATTTACATTGGGGCTGATTTATACATTTTCTGCCCATATATGCTCCTCGGTAGCGATCTAATGGCGGTAGTGCCATGTGAACAGCATTCGCCCACTATGCTGAGAGAAGCTGATCGGTTGCCATGGGCAACTGCGCCAGATTCTTTCTGCTCCAGTTTTGATAAATTCCTCCCAATGTGTGATACTCTATGTTCAATTCCCAAAGCTAACACAGTCAAATGCCTCAAATAAAGATTATTATCCTTGTGTTAAAGCTTTGTGAATTGAGCCTTAGGTAATGTACTTTATGGCGGGGGGTTTATAGAAAAGAAGTGGAAGATAGAGGTGTTACTTACATAAGACAATCCGACTGCTCATTCACATTTGAGATACATGTATGTGAGCTGTTTTACCAGCCAAAAGATTTGCAGGACTGAATAGCCAAGCACACAACTCAACTATTTTCTATTTCCATTACTATTTGCATTCTCCTTTGTCACCTGCCTTCTAATGGGACATTTCTAAACTAGTGGTATCACTTGCCGGGGAGTCTGACCCTCACAGTTAGCTGAATGGAACTATAAATAATATGGGCAGGTAATATAGTTCACATATATGTATTCTCACTGTTCATTTGGTTGTTCTCTTGGAAGTCTGAGTGGTTGTTCAGGGTGCTTTCAAATTGACTTTTTGAAAGTCAATTTAAAAAGTCAATTTAAAAACTTTTTTAATTTCAAAAATAAAATGCGTTCTGTGTTCATATTTTGGTAATGATATCGGCCAGCATCCCCAAACCCTTTGTTTACATTCAGCTGTTGGTTGGGGAATCTCCCGGCTGGCAGCTTCCAGTACATTAATGCCCTACTCTGATCACTGGCGTCTCTCTATACGCCAGATCAGACTTGGTCTTAATTACTGGCAGTTTTTCATTCTGTAGACAGTTGGTAATTCTTTCTGAATCTGTCCCAGCCTTAAAGTGGCGGTATTAACAGGGCCGGATTTTCCACAAGGCCAACCAAGGCCCGGCCTTGTGGCAGCACGGAGTAGAGGGGCAGCAGGAGTGTGGAATTCCTATCTCCCGATGCCTCGGTCATGCAGTTCCAGGCACCGGGCGGGTAGTGGTTTTTCACATTCAGCCCTGCTTTCGGTAAGCAGAGCTAAATGTACAGTGGGGAAGCTGTCGGTTGTTTTGTACAAGTGATCCCGGCGATGTCGCCGAGATCACTTGTATCCAGGTCTGCCATTCTCCACGAGGGTTGTTTGGCAGGTTGGGGGGCGCATTGAGGAACCTGGCCTTGGGGCCGCAGAGAGAGTAAATCTGGCCCTGGGTATTAAGAAATACTTGAATCTGTCACAAGTGTCGATTAAGGTATCGAAACTGGCAACAGGGCTTCATTGAATTTGGCACAGCACCTTTTAAAGGTCCCTACTTACAGAAGTGTTGTTAAGGCTTTAATTAATTCTCCCTAGTGTGTGCATATTATGTATGTGTGTGTGTGTGTGTGTGTGTGTGTGTGTGTGTGTGTGTGTGTGTATGTATGTATGTGTGTATATATATATATATATATATATATCTAATATATATATATATATATTATTTTAAAAAAATCTTTTTTACATATTTATTATCTTTAGTTAATCAAGCATCTTGCAGTTAAACTACACTGCAGCATACAAAAGATATGCTGTTGGTATTAATGCTACTTTTCTGTTTCAGGGGCACATAAAAATGGCTAAATTCGGTCTTTATTATATAACGGATCATGGAGCAGATGTTGATTTCCCAATAGGGTAGGTAAAATGCTGTTTATATGCTTTATTACAAATGTCCACTAGATGGCAGCAGTATGCCAGTGTATGTCAAACAGTGTTAAAATACTTCGAGTTTACTGAAGCTGCATTTATAGAACATATTTCCTAGTACTTTTACTAAATAAGGATACTATTATTGTCTAGACAACTTCAGTTTAACTTCTGACATCACTGCTTCTACAATTAAATGTAGTAAAATGTGACCATTTATAGGCTGTGTAACAGAATCTGCTAATTGACTTTCTTTGCTCCCACCATTTTTATTTGATAGAAGCATTTCTGCAATTCAGCCAGGCATGGGAATATAGCTTGGGCAAAATTATAACAGAGCCATAGGGAATAGAAGTGCTGCCGATAGCAGTCATTTGGATTCCATATGCATTTTATTTGGGAGTACAGTTTAGGCGATGCAATTGCTTGTACAAAATCGTTTTTTGCATCTTTTATATTTAGTTCCAGTATGCTTTATGCAGATCAGATTTTCCTTTCAAGTATAACTCCAAACAAAATTTGTTTTAGTAAAATGGAGAATGGTTACAACATCTGTCAGGTTTTTACTGTTGTAGTGGTGTCGTTAGGGGAAATCACCTTCTTTATTTGTCCTGGGGACAAAGTAAGTGGGCATGAAACCTTTATCACTGTCTCCAGGACAGGAGTAAAGGGGATATTTTTTGGGGGGGGATACCTGTTCTAGTGACCACTGTCAGAGTAGGCACCTTTGAAGAATTTTCCACGTGCTTTCTGTTGCGTCACTGGGGAAAGGACTTGATAAACATGTCACCAGCACACCAAAGTAACTTGTGCAATCAGAAACCATCTATTTATTGACAGACTGGGGAAGGGAGGCGCTTGGAAATGTCTCCCGGGGGTGCACAGATTACATTTAAAACCTAACGACACAACTATTCCATCTATATGTTGGAGATGTGAGAGAGGTATTGGTAGTCTATTTCATATTTGCTGGGAATGCTGTAAGACATGTTTGTTTTGGAAACAGGTAGTAACCTTACTTAATACTGTAGATCACTTAACTCAAAGGTTACATTAGGTCATGACCATTGCTTACTGGGTCTCCCTGTCATGGGTTTAAATAGATATTCCATTAAGCTATTTAATTATATTCTGTCTGCCTCTAGATGGCTAGTGGCGGTAAAATGTTGGCAACTTGTACCAACTTCTACCGTGGATTTGTTTAAATGTAATCACGATATATACAATTTGGAATATCTCACAACACACTAACAGTGTTTGACAAGGTGTAGTCCCCTTGGAAGTTCATGGACTCCTGTCTCTCCACTTTCTTTCTCCTTTTTCGCCTTTCTCCTCTATTTTCTTCTCTTTTCTTCTTCTCTTTTTTTTTCTTCTCTTCTTTTTCCTTATTGATTTAAGTTATACATGATACTTTCTACACAAAAATGAAAAACCAATAGCGCCAGAGGTGACCACTCCACTGAAGAGGTAAACATGCAGAAGTTCTACAGGTCGCTGCCCCACATAAGTCAGGGAGACTGTGATATCTAAGGAAAAAACAAAAACAAGGGGCGCCTTTCCTAGTGTAGATACATTTTTATTACCAAAACAGCAAAAGTAGGATAATACTCACAAAAGAGTAGCTAACGCGTTTCTGGGGCCACACCCCCTTCCTCAGAACCTCAATGGGGTTCCGAGGAAGGGGGTGTGGCACCAGAAACGCGTTAACTGAGGCATACCTTGCTGGCACACAGGAACACTATATGTGCAGCTCTCACATGCTGTGTTTGCTCTTTGCTAAAATGAGGATCAACCTTTGTTTTTGAAGGCTCATTGTCATCTACTCTTTTGTGAGTATTATCCTACTTTTGCTGTTTTGCTAATAAAAATTTATCTACACTAGGAAAGGCGCCCCTATACTTTGTTTTGGGATACCTATTGATTCTTGTGTTGATGGTACAGTGGTACCTCGGTTCACGAACGCTTCTGTTCGCGAACAGGAAGTTCAGCAAAATTTTGCTTCTGTTCGCGAACTCTGCATTGGGTGACAAACACAACCGCAGCCATCTTCCCTGCTCTGAGACAAGTCGTGGCTTCCTCTAGTCGAGATCGCGGTCTGATCACAGTTTGATTCGGTTAGCGACCAGAATCGTGGAACGAATTAAGTTCGTGAATCGAGGTACCACTGTATATGTAACTTGCTGTTCGCAGTATGGCTTGTATTTTCAAATGTAAAGATTAACTATTTGCATTCCTGTTTGCAACTCTGGTTTATTGCATTTTTTAAAATTATCTGTTTGTTTTCTCTCTGTATCTTTGTAAAATGTTTTAATAAACAGAAAGTTCTTAAAAAACAAACAAAAAAAACTGACGACAGAAATTCTAGCTCTTCCACACTCTATTCAAAACAAAAGGGTTTTAGTTGGAGTTGCACTTTAAATGAAATAGGTTGTCAAACATAACTGTAAACTCAATGCTAAGCATTATAATTGCAGGCAAATATGTGGCATTCTTGCTATATACCTATATCCATTTACTGTATAAATATCTAGAAACAAGTAGACAAACAAGAGTGTTGACTTAATTTGTCCATAGATAAGGCAGGCTTCTGAGCTGGCCAATTATTTATATCAGGGACATGCGGACACATCTGTCAAAGGCTTGTTGGTTGAAAAAGCAGTGAGACAGGTTAGTAAACCTTTTCAGACCTCTATGCCTTCCTCTATGTTAAACCAACCCAGGAGGTGTCTGCAGTGCCCCTCTGACTCCCTGCCACATACGTCTCAGGCAACCACTTGTATTGAGTATCCTGCTGGAAGGATGAGTTGCCCAAGCATGGTTGGATTCTTTCTGCACATTCAACCCTTTCAGCTGTCTATGAATATGTTGAGCTCTTAGTGCAGGCATTATGACATGATATACTTCATTTTCCAGGTCTGTATGTGTTTTTATTGTTTTGTTCTTCTTTCTGCTTTTTTCTAGTTACCCATCATACTTAGCTCCAGAAGTTATTGCTCAAGGGATTGTAAAACCCAAAGATCCCACTCAGCATGAAAGACCTCGACCTTCTGGACCAAAGTCAGATGTGTGGTCTCTGGGTGTGATTTTATTTGAACTATGTGTGGTATGTAAAAGAAATATGTGCTTTTGTTTCTCTGGTTTGATCGCTCTTACTGCTACTTTTAGTTGGGTGGATGTGGGGGAAGCATTGAGACCAGCTGGTATATTTTGTGGTCAGTGGTTGAGAGGGGATTTCCAGTAGATTTACATTTATCTGAAGTAACTAGCCCCTGACCCGCGTGTTGTAAAAGCAATGGGACTGCTGTGTGTTTCAGTGATTCTTTATAATGTCATATGATATGAATGATATGAAACCATTGTCAGACTGACTGTCTCCTTCCACCCACCAAGAAAACACAGCTGTTTCTATGTATATATTGCAATTTCCTTACAACATTATGTGCAGCAGTATATATAATAGATTTACATCTCTAGATATAGTGTGCGTATGCTAAAATATGTATAATTTACATGAAATGCTGCAGGTGTTTAGTTCCTGCCAGAACCAAAATGTGCTAAACGTACAGAAGGTGTAAACCTCAGGGAATAGATCAAGTGATAATCTGAACCACTTTTTTGGGGGGTTCGGTTCAACACAAAATGAATTTTTTAGTTATAGGTTGTAAGAATACTGGCTGTTTCTAGATTCAACATCTTTGAGTCACGCACCTAATCAGATTTGTTGCTGTGATCAATACAAACTCTTTGCTTTTTTAATTTTCTTTTGCTTCAGGCACATTAATTAACGACGCCCAACTTTAGAAAGAAATTAGTTAGATGTGCCTAGTGCATGTTCTTAGGAATCCAGTAATGAATTAATAAACCTAGCAGACTGCTAATACATTATAGATGCCTGACTTCGTAGGAAAAAAACAAGTTTTCCATGCATTTGGCTTGGGTATGTTTACTGAATTTTGCTGTGTAATAGTGACATGTGCCGTGTTTAATGTCCCCCCTATATTACCTTGTCTTTTAGGACATTGCCAACTTGGCCAGTCATTTCTTTAATACTTCTGTAGCCCCTTCGCCCTAAGCGGGGTGGCTTTTTAAATTTAGTGTTGCTGAAACTGTCATCAGTCTGGCTGATTTGTAGTCTGGTATCATTTGGTTATTTCTAGGTGTTCTGCTATTTATTGCACCTGGGGCAGCCAATAGGGAAACATTAGGAGTGTCTATGCCTCACCAGCAATCACTAGGGGTTTCATGCCCAGTGGTGCATGCTGGGGAAGTGCATAAATATTTAGAGATTTCCATGTGCGTGCGGCAATCGAAGTGGGATGTTCAAGGTTGGGGAATCTAACTAGGCCTCAAGCCTAGAGAAGGCCACATGTGGACCCAAGAGGGGTCTGGAACTATCTGGGAAGGAGAACCAGAGGAGTCCTTTGACTGCTGAAGGTGCCAGTAAGGCCAAGATGGCATTGACCTCAGAACAAGTCTGATGTCTCTTCCAGAGAAGATCTCAAGCATGTCTTCTGTCCAGCTGTGGCTCTATTACACAGTGTCATGCTCTGCTCAACTAAAGTATTCCTACACTGTGGAAGCTGGAAGGGACTGGTGAATCTGAAGTCTGTTTTGTCCATGGATGTCTCTAACCCTATACCCTCTCTCCCAGTTTTGGCTGTTTTACAATAAAGCATTGAAAAAGTGCATAAATCGACTGGCACCCAATTTAATGTTCACATCCCACAACCCGGCTAAGCATCCATCTTTGAGTGTGAAATGTCAGCCCTCCCTGCCTCTGGGGCGTACCACATGCCCATGGGGGCGCAACACTTCTGTTTACAAATTTGAATCTCCGCTTGTGAACTTTTTATGCATTTAAAGCTGAAGGATGTAAAGGTAGAGCAACACTGAAGAGAGTCGAGATCCATAAATGATTGGGAACCAATAATTAAGAAATCAGTGCAATCGAAATTAAAAAGAAATGCCTGAAATCACACACTAAGCTTGGATATCTGTCTGTCAATCCTAACTAAGATCTGTGCAGCTATGTTCCCATGTCTTCCTACATATCATGGAAATCAAATTGGTCTGTTTCCCCCACATCAGTTCTCTTTTGTTTTACACCATAGTAAATAGAGAATGTAAGGAGCAAAGCTTGGAGCTGCTGGAGACTTCAAGGAATACAATTGGCTTTTGAATAGCTCAGACCATCTGTAACCCACCTACCCATAGTTGATGCTTCAATTGTCAGTAGAGTTACATTTAAAATAAGTTGGTGTGAATAGCAATTCCTGTAACAACTATTTTTAGTGTTAATGCACTGAAAGCTAGAAGTTTGATTCATGTCTTTCCACAATCAATTAGTTCTCACTGTGGGCAGTACATATTAATATTATTCATTGTAAAATAGATGCAGCAGAAGAACATACATTTTCTTTTCATGTACATTTTGTTTAAAATATATAGAGTTTTGCAAACTGTTTATGAGTGTTCTTATCTGAAATGTATTCCTCTTTTCTCAGGGAAGAAAATGTTTTCAAATCCTTGACATAGCTGAGAAACTCAAACTTATACTTAATCTAGGTATGTAACAAAAGCAGGTAGTTTTTTATTCATTTTTGTTGAAAACTTAAACCTAAACTGTTTACAGCTACAAGAAATGTAGAACAGAAAAAGTCCAGGCATATTTTAATGAGTTGAGATTCCGCACACTTCAGGTTAAAATAGCCTTATGTCATGGGAACACTAATCAAAGCAAGGACTCCACAGAAAAACTGGCCTGTGTCACTTTGTATATGACTCAGCTTCTGTTGTATGTGCAGCCAGTCCACTTCAAGGATTTTTAGGGGGGGATTTGGGGTTTCTTTCCATGTTAGCATGAAATTCCCAGCTTTCTGTTTTTACATAGCTCCAAGTGTTTGTGTGAACGTCATGGTCCTGAATTTCTTGTTATTTTGCTCCCTCAGGCTGTGTTGATGACATTGTGACCGTGCTTGCTGAAGAACATGGATGTGAGGAAGTGATAAAGGTCTGTGAATCGCTTTGCTATTCCCAGGAAATTGCTGGCAGAGCTAATGTCATGCATTTTAAAAAGCAGATTGTTTGCAATATCCCCTCTAGGTGGTGCTGCAGAGATTCTGTGATTCACATTTGATGAATCTAGGCAGGTAGCATCTCAGATCAGCTATAACGGAAATGCAGTAGAATTTATCCATTCTCTGTGGGTAAACTCACTGCCTACAAATCACTGCTACAATTGTGTATAGATGCAAATATGATCTGTAATGACTAATTGTTATATTACAGGATTTATATAGCGACAACAGTTTGTGCAGCACTTTACAAAATTACGGGAGGAAGTACAGTTACAATACAATTCCGGGATTAGAATGGCCCTGCTCATGAGAGATTACAATCTACCACCTTTGCTGTAGAATTGCCGTGTAGCTGCTGTTATGTTTATTTGGCACAAGTACATTTGAGAAAAGGGTATATGATGCACTGAATTTGTGTCCCGTGTGCTAACCTGGGGGGAAAATAAATAAATGAATATATAAATATATATATAGATCTATATATATAGATGTCAAAAATATCGGCTTACCCATTTATATTGCACTATATCTATCTATCTATCTATCTATCTATCTATCTATCTATCTATAGATAGATAGATATAGATATAAAATGTTATTTTATTTTATTTTATTCATATTTTTTATGCTACTTTGATGCTCAGCTTCATGGTTTTATTTATTTATTATTATTTATTTATTTTCTTAGAACCTGCCAGAAAGTGTCCTAACCTTACTAAGAAAATGTCTTACCTACCGCCCAACCAAAAGGTGCGTACAGGTTTGTAAATACTAATTTTAGTATAAGCTATAGAGGGTTTGCTTTTTCTTGGTTAAGTATTTTACTATTTATGAATAAACATAAACATGGGAGTACAGATTAGAATATAAAATATACAGCATTTAAAATATACTTTAGTTGTTGGCTGACTGTTTGTAATATGGAATAAAAGGTCAATCTTGAGTTTTAGAAGGGTCTCATCGTCTTTGTCAGGGATAGGTTACATGTACTGTGAGATATTACCCTGCCTATAGTATGTCGTCTGCCACTAGAATGGATCTCAGTGAGAATATTAAGTACAATTAACCCTTTACGGAACACACTAGGAAAGCACGTTGTTAGTGAAAGCTGAAAGAAAGTAGGGCATGTTCTGCATGTATTCCATTCGGTTTCTTTCAAGTGACCTCATACAGTATGTATTGTCAGATCTGTTCTATGTTCTATAACAAATGCATACTGTATGTTGCCTTTAGCAGCCAGTCAGATATTGTACTTTGGAATTGCATTCAGAACAATTTCCAGACACCTGTGTTCAATGATAGGCATGCTCCCTGCTGTGTTCAGCAAAACCTTATTTGCACTGCCAGCTCAGTTCAAGTAATCTTGTAGTGAGGCTGAGTGCACACCAGACAGCTTAACAGAAAAGCATCCATGCACAAAACATGTTGAACTGCATTCCAAGTGCATTCACAGTGTATCAAATGAAATATTATGGGTGCAGAACTTTTAACTTTTTAACCGCAAAAATCATATAAAACAAACATACAGGTCAGAAAAAAAAGAGATAGTTCCTCTTCCAACAATTTTATTATCCATGCCTTTTAATGTTATATAACCAAATTAATTCTGATATAACTGGTAAACTAATGTGAAAAGTTATTATTCGAAATTTGAATTCCTTATCTAGTTGAAATTATTAAAGACTCTAACAATTAGAAGGATTGAGTCTTTACATTGAAAAATCTTTATTTAACTCTTACTGACTATATGATGAGCTGGCGTCCGGATTACTCCATAAGAAACGGGTAGCGGATTGGCGAGTGTCAGACTCCCGTTTTAATTCTGCGTGGAAACATCAGCATCTTTTACATGCAGCGTTAAAGCCTTTAAACACCACAGATTCCATTAAATCTCTATCACCTCTGTGGTAAATCAATGTCTTAACACCGCAGGTTTAACGCTGCATGGAAACATCAGCATCTTTTACATGCAGCGTTAAAGCCTTTAGTCACTGCAGAGCTGCAGGTGATGCACATGGATTTAATTAATATGCAACCTCTTGCTTACTGACAGCTTGCCAGCCTATGAAATAGATCCCATTAAATCTCTGTCACCTCTGCAGTGATTAAAAGCTTTAACGCTGCATGTAAATTATTCTGATGTTTCCATGCAGCGTTACAGCAAGGAGTAGAGGCTCTACTCCCTGCCGCCCTGAGGCCATAGCCTCAGTGGCCTTGTGGGGAATCCAGCCCTGATTGGTAAAGTTATAGGTAATACTTAAGATTGTATTTAAAGCTTTAAAAAGAAATGTTCATATGCAGAATGCAGTATTCTATACTTAAGATTTCAACAAATGGTTCTCGATCGATCTAGTTTCACTTTGAAGGTCATTATTGCTTATTAAATATACCTGATACTGAGATTTGTTTAGGTTTTACTTCCCTGGGTCATTGCATTTTGCTAACAAATACATTATCTGCAGACCCTCAGCTGCAGAATTACTCACCAGCAGTTTTTTGAGTGCTGTATCTGCTGGTTACATACCTTTCCGTCAACCGGCTAGTCTGTTCTCCTCAGCGTTGAGATGTGCTGACCTCGATTTGCCTGAAGACATCAGTCTCCTATGTAAAGGTACAGTGACTATTGGGTGTAAGGGATTATAAATAATGAATGTACGCAGTAATAAACGGTTATGTTTAGAGCTTGTTCTCATTTCTGTAGATGAAGACAGTGACTTTTTGGCTGAGAGGTCCATTGAAGAGGTATATTACCTCTGGTGTTTAGCTGGAGGCGATTTGGAAAAAGAGCTGGTCAGCAAGGGAATTATTAGATCCAAGCCACCTATCTGCACATTGCCAAAGTAAGTGAAAAAATAGTAATCACAATATTATAGAGTAATAACTGTATTTGATTATTTCTATAGAAAGCACAGTAAAGCCGCCTTAGAACAGAAGGCACATGTCTCTTTCTGTCACATATCTCAAAAAAGGAGGATTAGTCCTAATTTTAGTGCACATCCAGAACCGCTAATGTATAGTGCACATATTGGCTAATATTATAGAGACATCTTCCAAAATGCATTGAGTTGTTTCAGGCTTTTTGGACTTCATCAGTGCAGTGAATGGAAACGATGGCTTTTATGGAGTAGGGCGTCAGATCCAACAAGCAAGTATAACCATTAAGCACCACCCACTGTCTTTAAGTAAGGTATATTCATCTTATTTTTGGGATATGTGATGGAATGAGAACCGTAAATACCTTTTTGTTTTAAAAATGCTCTGCTGAGCTTTTGGTTGGAAGGATTTTTTTTTTTAATTCTTTGTTTGAGTTGTCATAAATACAAACCTAACCAACCTATACAAACCAAGGCGAGGTGGTAAAAAGATGCAAGCAAGAGCAATGTCTGTGTCGTGACCCTCAGATTAGCACCTATAGTCGAGTGGGTCTTTAGGGTTTGCAAATGACAGGAAGGGAGCCATAGGAGACAAGATAGAGGTATTGGAGTGCATTCCTGTACAGTTGTCCCTGCCAAAAAGCTGATGACTTGTGACAAGTATGACTAACATCAGGGAGGTATATATGCCCATGGGATTTAAAGATAGTTAAGCAAATTTTGGGAGATTTGTCCCAAAGGCATATATGAGAATAGTAGAATTGTGGAAGGTGAGTAGGGAGCGTTGGAATAAGTACAGAATTTGAGGGAGAGTGGTCATGGAGGCAGCGCTCCTCCAAAAACCATGTATGAGGACCAGCGCTGAAGTTCAATATGAATCTTCACCAAGAAAGAGCTAAAAGGTTTTTTGTCAGGGTCAGAGGGGGTCTTGATCACTAATACTTTAGGTTGGGCCCATTGCAAGGGGAGGTCCCTTTTTAGCCCCTGTAGCCTTTCTGGGGCAAGGGAAATTTTAGTGCTTCAGATATGGTGTAGTTAATATTGAAATTCAAGAGTTCACTGTATTGTTTGAAAAGTGTCAGAAGCAGTGGTGGCTGGACAAGGGCTTGTATAGATTAGGACAGTACCTCAGGAAGGGGAGGCCCCTGACATTGGAGTACTGCAGGGAGACTTTGGACATGCCCTTGTCAGAATTGTTCCGCTACTACCAAATTAATCATTTCCTGCGCGCTATATTAGCACAAAGTGATTTTGGTAGTAGTCTCACCCCCTATGAACGCCGGTTCCTTCAGCCTATTAATCAAAGAGGGGTTATCTCCCTGCTCTACTCCATTATGTTGGAGCCCACCACTAAACAGCCATACATGCTAGCCTGGGAACAGGATTTAAACATGGTAACCTCTGAAGAGATCTGGAAGCAACGCATTAGGGCGACGACTCGGGGATTGTTGAATGTATCACTACTGGAGGCTAATTTTAAAGTCTTCTCTAGGTGGTACTTGGTGCCCTCTAGACTGGCTCGTATGTTCCCAGGATCGTCAACCTTTGTGTTTCCGGGGATGCGGGCTTGGGGGCACCATGTACCATGTATGGTGGTCGTGTCCTTGCGTTTGTAGATTCTGGGGAAAGGTTCTCAATTTAATAATTCGGGTCACGGGTGTGTGCGTTCCTAGGGACCCCGGGTATGCCCTCCTTAATGAGGCCGTCCCCATGGTCTCGGGGCATGGTACACAATTGATATTCTTTATATTTTTGGCAGCTAAAATCACCATTGCTAGGGCTTGGAAAACCACTAGGATACCATTGAGGCAGGTGAAGAATAAGCTGTCTTGGATCATGACCCATGAAAAGCTAGCAAGTATTATTGCGGATAAAGTCACACAATTCGATCAGATCTGGGGGCCCTGGCTGGCCTATACAAGTCCTACAATAATGTAATGACATAAGGGGGGGAAAGAGAAGGGAAAGAGAAGGAAAGGGAAAGAGAAGGGGGAAGGAGGTAAAAGAAAAGGGTAGAGTTTGGACCTTAACCCATCCCGACCAAAAAAATCAAAATCAAATTAAATTAAATTAAACTGTTATTGTTGATGTTAATATTGCATTTTTTTTTTCTCCTTTTTCTCTTTTCTTTTTCTTTTTTCTTCTTTTTACTCTTTTTTTTTTTTCTCTTCCTTTGTGAGTAATGGTGTGTTTTGTGATTTTGTGGGTTGAAGAAAACAATAAAACTTTTGAAAGCGAAAAGTGTCAGAAGGTTTGGGAATGCTGCCTCTAGTTTTTATATGAAGAAGAGGAGGTTGTCTGCGTAAGCTGCAACCTTACAATGGGCTTGAGATGTCAGCAGACCCTAAACTCTGAATTGGAGGGCTGTTGATTTTTTTCTTTCCCTTCTCACCATAACTCTGATGATAGATAATGCTTACCAGGAGTTTTAGAGGCTGCCTGTCTACTTGTTCCAGTTCTGTGATTCTGTAGTAGACAGTAAAGACAAGATGAGTGCACAGTGCCCTTATCGTTACTAACTAACACTTTGACTTTGTAGCAAGTACCCTACTTTTACCTTTACTGTGTTTCCCTGATGATAAAAATCTAGTATTTCTGGGGCTATACAGTGATGGATTTGGGTAGCAAAGGAGTGTGCTAAAGGTAAGAGCGGGCAACCTATCAAACTTGCTAAAAAGCCTAAGATTAGTTAAAGTGACACTAAACTAAGTAGTTAAACCTTTAAAATGCATTCAAGTACTATAACTATTTAAAAAAATGTGTCTTATTTGTGTATCACTCGGCTGTAGATTCTCAAATCATCTCTGAATTTGTGCTGACACTGTCCTTCCTTTTGCATAAAGTAGGGAATGGTTAGAGACAGCTGTCAGTAAGCTTTCCAATCACCTCTTGTTTCAGTAACAATCATAAAATTCTGTAATTCCCATCACTTTCTGTACAAGTTGAAATGGTCACCAGGACAAACAGACAGAGTGAATCCTCCCCAGTAGAGTCAGAGCAATAAAAGCAGTTAAGTTCAGATACTGTAGTGTGTATACAATTTGGTCACTAGATGGCAGCATGCTGCAACTTGTACTTGGTAAAGCCCTGCATTATAGTGATAAATGTAAGGATAAAGGGAGGTATGGTAGACACATTGCTTCATAGTTGCAGTGATGGAGGTTCTAAGGTGTATTTGGTAATGTTTTGTTTAAGATTTACTAATCCTGTTTGCTTCCATTTGATTTTCCTCTTGGTAGAGCTAGAACACATATGCTTCGGCTTGGCTGTCGAAGCAGAACGTTCACCCAGCAAATGTAAACAAATTTTAAAAACGGCGCCGAGTTCCCTCCCGAGTGCGTGGGGTTCCCCCAAAAGTCATACCGGGCCCTTTACAACTGGTAGGAATTTAATGGGTAACCCCACTCCCAAAAAACAGGGAAAAAAACATAGGGTCCCCCCTAAAATTTCCAACCAGGCCCTTAATCCAAGCACAGGCATGGCAGGGCAGGCCTTTCTTTTATTTAAATTTTTTTTTCTGCTCGCTACCTCCAAGGTAGCAAGAAGAATAACCGAGCCAAATGCTGCTTGGCAGCATTCAGCTATTCACTCATAGCTGTTTGGCCCCTATGAGAATAGGGGCGAACGGCAACGAGTGACCTGCCAGGTGTTCGGCTCAGCTGATCCAGATGTTGGATTGGCTGAGTCGAATGGGTTCTTAACTTCGGCTCAGCAGAACATACTGAGCCGAAGGGAGCCGAAGCCAGCCGATGTACGGCTGAAATCAGCCGGCTGAAGTGAATAGCCAAACGACTTTCGGCTCGCTTCACTTCGGCTCAGTTATTCACTCGGCTGCCTTCGGCAGCTTAATTAATAATTTCCTCCGAAAAAATATTGCTGGCAGGCAGGTAAGACACTTTTTATTGCAGAAGTGATATACAGACTAAAAAGCCTGTCTGCCAGCAGTGTTTCTCTGCTAGCTGTGTTATGTTTAAAGTATGTTCAACTGCGTATAAGGTTACCATATTTTCCCCTATACCTGTTCTTTAAATTAAGCCCTACAGCCCCGATGCTGGCGACGTACACTGTACGTCGTCAGTCACGAAGGGGTTAATAGAAATGAAGACACTATCCACTTTGATGGTTCCAGAACCTTACTTAACTTCTGCCAGTTTTTCCTTTTCCACAGCTTTCTGGTCTTGGCACTGTTATTGCTTCAAAAATACTGTATGTCGGCCTTCCTTTTGATACGATCTCAAGATTTGCATCAGATTACGTTCATGCATCCCATTTTGATGTAGACATTTTGTTGATGTGGTCATTTTCTTTGTCTTTATTATTTTCCTCCTTTACTTTTATTATAGCCTCCTATTAGAAGATGGAGAAAGTTTTGGTCAAGGTAGAGACAGAAGTTCCCTCCTAGATGACACAACTGTTACTTTATCATTGTGCCAACTGCGAAATGTAAGAGTGGAAGTCTATTGTCTTGTAAATTGAACATTTAAAGTTGACATTTCTGCTGAAGTCTAATTAAAGTATACTTAAAGGTTTTGTAAACACTAACAATGAACTTTGCATATTTGTTCCCTTTTGTTCTTTTAAAAATTCCTGTTCTATAAGTGCAAAAAAATACTTGTTGTTTCTGCCAGAAATCTACTAAGCTCATTACTAGCTGTGCTCTCTGCCTTTGCTGCTCAGAAATGTCAGCTCTGCTTTGTTCACCTCTGTGAATAACAGAACACCATCCTTCTATGTTATGGAGAAGTGGAGAGAGTTTGACATTCTATAGTCCTGCCCTATTATTAGAATTATTAATATGCAGTTATAGTGGCAAACGTTTGCACATCATTTTACAAAATATAGGGGAACAGTACAGTAACAATACAATGCAAGATTACGGTTAGGAGGGCCCTGCTCGTGAGAGCTTACAATCTAAAAGGAAGGAGGAACAAGTGAAACAAAAGGTAGTAACTGCGTGTTAGGTAAAGGTAGGGTAGGCTTCCCTGAATAGAAGAGTTTTCAGAGATCAACTAAAGATGGACAAAGTTGGAGGTAGTCGTGCAAATTGGGGTAGTGAGTTTCAGAGGATGGAAGAGGCTCAGGAGAGGTGATGCGATGAGGTGAAAAAGGAGCCAGAGAGCCTGAGGTCTTGGGAGGAGCGGAGAGGAGAGTTTGGGTGATATTTTGTGATGAGATTGGTGATGAAGCGGGGTGGCATAGTTGTGGATGGATGGCTGAGTATCTTGTTAGTATTTAAAGTTTTATTCCTTGGGCAAGCAGAAGCCAGTGAAGGGATTGGCAGAGGAGAGTGGCAGACACTAAGCGGTTGATAAGTCTGGCAGCAGCATTCATGATAGACTGAAGGGGGGAATATGCTGTATAAAAATAGGCCAACAAGGAGAGAGTTACAGAAGTCAAGGCAGGAGATAGCTAGGAAGTGAAAAAGTATCTTGGTGGTCTCATTGGTTAGAAGGGGCATATTTTGTGCACGTTATGAGGTGAGGGCGATAAAATCTGGACAATAAGTTCAGGATTATACTTAGCATGCTGGCATGAGAGGAGGTACTGATGGCTGTGCTACTGATCTTGAGGAAGATGAGGGGAGGAGGCAAAGGCGGATCACCAAATGAGAATAAAGGTTAAATATTCTTTAAAAAAAACGAATGCAGCCACCATATATAAGGACTGGTAACCTACAATATACTACCATTTTGTTTTTAGATTTAGTTAGACTTCTTTGGTCGACCACTTTAGTGCTCTGTAGGCTGATTGCAATACCCTACTGGCAGTTTTAAACTGGACATGTCACATTTTTTTTTTATTTTGTAGAACAGCTTAGACTGGGAATGCAGGCTCCCAGCCAAGATAGTGATTTTACCAGCAAATTTAAATATCTGTTGGTATTTTTCACTTTTTAATGTACAAATAATGTAAAGTTGCTATTATGTTATACATACAGTACATCTTGCCTAAGAATAATGACTGTAGAAATTAAAGGAGAACTATGGGGTCAGTGTTTTTCCCCATAGTTCTCCTTGGGGTAACGGGAGGACACAAACTAGCGTTCTCCCGTCACCCTAAGCTCAGTATACCGCGCGCTACAGCTCGCGGTATACTGAGACGCCGCACCTGGAGCGGATCCCGACTTAGATGACGGGATCCGCCCAGCTGCGTGAGTGACAGCTGGCTCTGCCTATCTAGAGGCACAGCCAGCTGTACCCCCCCCCTCCCCCGTCCGTTCCGCCAGTCAGCGCTGGCAGATCGGAGCGGGGAGAGGGGAATCCAGCACCTCCCCCATGTCACGGCAGAGAGCCGTGACAGGATCGAGAGGTGAGGGAACCCGGTATGTTTTCCCTCACCTCCCGATCTACTGAGCCGACCTGTGACAGTCTCATTGTCACAGGTCGGCTTAGAACTATGACGTGAGTGGAAATCACTCATGTCATAGTTCTCCTTTAACACTTAATTCCTTTTTAAGTTGTTGTGCTTGTGCTTTAGTAACCTGTGTTTTATTTGTATTTTCCAACCCTTCAGAGACTAAAAGATGTGCCTGGGGAAGCATTTTATCCCTTACTGGGAGAAGAGTGAGTACTGCATTATTTAATTTTTTATCCAGAAACAGGTGTTACAGCTATATTAAATCAGCTGTGTAAAAAGAGCGGAGACATGAGTTCACTCTGAACATATGTTCATTTTAATGTTTTCTTACCTTTGCATCATTCCCACAGGGAGAGAATTACTGATACATTTATGCCACACGATACATATGGTGTTTACTTTGACTGACCTGAAAAGTAGTGAATATGAATGAACTGCTGAGCAAAAAAAATATGCGGTGACATGTTACTGTCACACTGATCATCTTTATTTATACACGACACCCTGGAGAGTGAGATGTTTCAGTGAAAGATAGGTTCGAGCAGTTATTGGCGTCAAGCTGCAGCAGGGCACAGCATGTCAGTACCAAATGGGATATGCATTTATGTAGCAAGCTTGTAATTTGTACTTCTCTCCAATCACTTTGCAGCCAATCAAACATCCCTCACTCTGGTAGTAATACCGAGCTCTCTACCTCCACCCTTCCTCTCATTATCAGAGAGAGGGATACAGAGTATCAGCTCAACAGAATTGTCTTATTTGACAGGCTTCTTAAGGTAAGTACATTACAGTATGATATTCATCTTACCATGTTTCTTCAAAAAGACATCTGTATGCACCTTTACACTAAGCAAACCCGTCACAAAGCTGGGCAAATCAAACTGAGCAGATGATAAAAAATATGTATATGGACAACTTTGACATGAGAAAGCAAAGACCCGCTCCTCAGCTATGATGGGAAAAGATTCGCTGCATGCTAGCAGGCTTCTGCCATCTGTTTCCATTTCAGGTCCTCTTTAAAGGAAAGGGCAATAGTTGCATGTAACTTCCACTGGCTATACCTGTGGACATACCTCTGGAGATGATTATTGCTTACTCATAATTATCATATGCTCAGTTTGAGTTATATGTCAGTGTTTGTTTATTACAAAGGAATTGTGACAGAATGTACACATACTTATAATTTAGTTTGGAAAATGATGTCAATATAATACATTGGCTAAATAAATATGGAGTAGACAGGAGCCCAGGGCCACAGATTTAGCATGCACCCCACTGATTTTTCATTAATCTTAGTGGATATATGTACTGACACAAAAAGAATTCCAGGTGTTCAGTGTAGGGGATACACAGAGTATAGTATTAACAGGCCTCTTAGCCTCACAATCTAAAACAAAAACCACCACGCCAAACTATAACGATATGTTTTTTTAGTCTGGAGTTATTTTTAAATGCTTTGCACTTGTCTGCAACTGACAAACAAAAGGCTGAAAAAAATCAATCTTTTCTCCCTGGTATACCTTTGTTGAAGGTGTCTGCTGAGGTCAATGTTATGCCATCAATACACTTAGGGGATTATTCACAAATGGGTGATGAGTTTGGAGAAGGCAGGAGAAGTGAACAATCTAGGACAACATAGCTGAACTAGAAAGTGAGCTGAAATAGAGAATTTTTCCAAATCAGCTATGTTGTCCTAGATTGTTCACTTCTCCTGCCTTCTCCAAACTCTTCACAATTAAGTGAATAACCCCCTTAATGTTGGCAAACATTGACTGGACATTACAATTCTTGTATTTAACACTCCAGTACTGTAAAGTGCTGCTGCAACTTCATCCATGTGTTTAAAGCCCTTAGTTTCTTGAAAATTATTTATTTTGTCTCGATTAGTGATATGCCCTACTCTGAAATCATTTTGTCTATATTTAAAGTGGACCTGTGCCTATATATACCATTCCTAAAGAAATTACTGCTTAAGGTTTTCCTCTGTAGTGCTCAAATAAGTCAGTACTTATGTACTTGGTTAAGTGATCTTCGCTGAAGAAAAGTATCAGCATTCAGGTCCCCTGCAGCCAAGATCATGTGACCAAATGCTTATCCTTCAGACAGTACTGGGGGCAGCCCAGAGCAGCATTTTCTCCTAGAGAGGTAGGTATTTCAGCTTTTTTGAGTCTTTATTCATTAAAAAAAAAAATTGTAAGCCTAACTTTATCTAAGTATAGTTACCCTGTAATATTTTGCTGCTTCAATGTGTAGTAGCTTCTTTAGCATTACAAGGACCTTTTCTTTTTGTGACAATAGTTCATTGTTATTATTTCTATTTTTTATCCAAGGCATATCCATATAAGAAAAATCTGATTTGGAAAGAAGCCAGAGTTGACATTCCTCCACTTTTGAGAGGTTTAATCTGGGCAGCTCTGCTTGGGGTAGAGGTGAGAATTTTATTTAGATTATTATATAGTTGCTTTTAAATTGGTGTATATAGCACTCCGCTATTAAGACTAGTTGCTAATAATCTCATGTTTTGAGCAGTCCTCGATGCTATAGCTCACCAGTGTGAGGGGAATGAGTGATCATACAGGTTAAAAGAACTATCCAATCCATCCAGCACCATACCCATATGCCCAATGGTGGGATGCTCTGCTTATCGTGATACAATGTTATAGCTCAATTACAAGAAATAGCCAGCACACCACCCTTGTACCTCAAAAAATGTATTGAGGTTAAAATGGAAAAGTGGTCACAAAAAAAGAAAACTGCCATTTCAGGGACACAAGGAACCCCTTTCTCAAGGTGATAAGAAAGGGGTCCCTTGTGGCCCCCGATACATCAATGGTTAGAAAACCTGTCCCAATCATGGTTTCCTTTCTGAAAAGCTGACACTAGTAACGTTTCCTCTTCCCTCCAACACCTTCTTCTCCTCTCCATTTACAAAAAATGCTTTATGGGGGTTTCTGCAGTACTCTTCAGACACTTTGTCCTGAGTACACTTGAGACATTGGTTCTGAAGAAGGAGGCGTGACCTCATAAACGCGTAAACCATCAGGGAGGACGAATAGCCGGTGGCTAAGCACATCGTGTTCTGACCATTTCTTGCCTGTTTTTATTCGACTCTTGCGAGTACCATTGTACCAGTTTTATTTATTTTAAAAAGGGTTTTTACGCGATGGAGGCACTCTCTGTGTCTTGTCTTACACTTGAATCATGCCTACACGTTGCATCCTTCTATTTTAACTTGCAAAACAATCACAGGGGCATCAACTTCTTCCAATTGTTTGCTTGGTGTTTTTCTTCAAAGAAGCTCAATATAAAAGATGCTCTACTGCTTACTTGGCAACATTCCCTCAATAAGAGTCTTTTACATGTTATATAATGTATATAATATTCTGTATATATCAACTATCTGCTACAGCGTGTGATTTTAAATCTTTTCTTTAAATTGATCTTTTGAAGGGTGCTATTCGGGAAAAATATGATGCCACAGATAAGGACACCCCAATACCTACAGACCGTCAGGTAAAGTTTCATAGCTTGGGCCTAGGCCTCTATATTTCGACGTTTGCTGGGTCCAGCTTGGTTACTTCTAATGCTTGGTATACTATGTCCAGAAGACTGCTAGGGATGCCAAAAATCTTAGCTGTATTCATGCTGGATTCACTGTCAACTTTGATCTCCCTGTTCAGCTACTTTGAGTTCCAGAGCTTATACAGGGAAGGATAACATAATTTCATAACATAATATCTTTCTGTAAATGGACAAGGGGAGAGCAGGAGAGGCTAAATGTTTAGGTCCCCCCCCCCATATTATATGTATTAAAATGATATTTTAAAATTAAGCTGATTTTGTAAATCAAAAATTAAAGACTTCTTGCCTCTGAGGAAAGCTACCATATTATAAACTCTGTTTCATCCATATCTGGCGTAGCAGTGGGTGTCAGACATTCCTAAAGGTCATAATTGCTACAGAAAATACTGTGAACGGTGCGGGTTTCAGTTAAAACATGTGGCGGCTACTGTTTGTGTTTGTACATGGTAAACTCAGAAGTCACAACAGTGACGACCACTTCTGGCACATAGATTGCTGTCTTGCGAGATGGAAGACCTTTGTGCAGGGTGAGGCTGAGAGTGCCATCATCAGATTCTGATGGCAACGTTGAATTTTGTGATTGCCGCAGTCACATCTCCAATTGCCATTACCACGTCCAATGAGAGTGCGAGGAAAATTACTTTTTCTTTTCCTGGAAACCGTATTCATTATAAAAACAGTATTTCACAAAATTCTCAAGTCTCCCATTGTATTCAACTGCTCCTGAAAATATCCCAATACCTTTCATAGACATTCAAAGAGAATGAGGTCAAATTACAGTCAGGGTGCCGCTTGGTATATGTCATCACTAGCAGTGTTCTTAGGTTTACTAAACTGGAATTCTCATCTGTGATACTTGCAAAGTGCTCTACAAGGGAAACATGGAAGTGTAATGTTTCTTATTACAACACAAAGGCTGATTATAGAAAAGGCATGCCCACTCACTGTGCATTCATTTGAAAGGTGGTCTGGAGGGGGTGTTCTTGTTTTTTTGTCTCTTTTTTTTGTGAACCCTCTGTGTCTCAACACATAGAGGTCCCCCTTTCTCATAGTTTTGGAATTTTACCTAAATGTGGAGCTGTAATTTTTATTTGTCAATTGCATCAACACTGCCCGGTGAAACCTGGCACTGCTGTGCAGCCTTAATACACATAATAACATGATCTTAGTAAGAACTGTTATTTTCCTTATAGCTATCCCACTTAGGTTTAAACTTTGAATCTGCATGGCTGACAGTAAATCACTTTAGAGACCATGTTGAAATGTCTGATCCAGTGACTCTCTGAGAACCGTTATATTGGTATGATCTGAGTTTATATTACTAAACACTGTGGAAAATGGCAATATGTGAGTCCCATTATTTACAATGGCATTGTGGGAACTAAGAATCTGTGCTAACGCAAAATCTTTTTTGAAAATCTTCTTGAGTCCCAAAGAATTAAGTACAGTGCAACATTTGCCAGCTGAGTTATTCATATATAGCTGTGTTGCTTTTATTGTTTTGTAGATGTATGTTGACTTCCCACGTTGTCATCAGTATGATGAGCTGCTCTCCTCACCTAAAGGACATGCAGAGTTTCTAAGGGTGCTAAATGGGTCCCATTATGCACAATGGGATTGTGGGAATTAAAAATCTGTGTTGACAGCAAACTCTATTGGAAATCTCCTTTTTAGCTCTCCATAAATTGGGTACAGACCAATATTTGCTAGCTGAGTTATTTGTATAAAGCTGTGTTGCTATTATTGTTTTGTAGATTGAAGTTGATATCCCACGTTGTCATCAGTATGATGAGCTGCTCTCCTCACCTGAAGGACATGCAAAATTTCGAAGGGTGCTAAAAGCTTGGGTGGTTTCACATCCTAATCTAGTATACTGGCAGGGTGAGTTACTCTAATCATCGTATTTCTGTTATGTGTTTTGTGTATCTTTCATCCAAAACTAATATACTGGGTGAAGTAAGTCACACTACCCATCACTTTCCTGTTATGTATATTGTGTGGTATATTATGTGTCTTGCAAATAAAACTAGTATACTGGCAAAGGTATTAATGTTATGTGGTTTAAGAGCAGAAATCAGTTTCTGACACAGTTTTCTCATGTAACCACTAATCTTTCTAACATTTTCTGATTTATGAATTGTACATGAATCCTAAACCATAGCAAACAGCATAGTCTTTAGTCTATGGGAAAAAGCATATTCCCACAAGAGTATTGAACAGAACTGAGGGATTAGCACCAGTCATAAGACTGTCATGATCTATGCAGACCAGCTGCTTATAGGGAAATGACAACATGTTTTATATTGTGATGCCTGAACAACTATACATTATAGGAGACATACTTACAATAAAAATACAATAACTTACAAGGGTGACATTCTGCAAAACATTACACATGCTGATTTCAACTTAAAGTGTATGTAAAGCCAAAAGTGTCTTTCTTTTAGTTGTAGATCAGGATTTAAATAGGAAAGGGTTTATACCCGTGTTAAGGTTATCTTTTGCTCCCTAGGTCTCGAGATCAGGGAGATTCCTGTCCTGGAGCCCCTACGGGTACTGAGAGGAAATCTCTTTAATGTGAACAGAATTCCTTTATTAGTGAGTTATTACAGGAACAGTTGCCCAATTGGAGGATTTTCCCTCATCTCTTGCCCTGGTGACAAATTAACAGTTTTGATTTTCCATCACTTACTGTTTTAGTGACAGTGGTCACCAGGACAAACAGAGGGTGAATCTCACCAGCAATGACACAGACCGCAATAAAAACTTAACAAAGGGTCTAACTCTTCCCTACTTTTTCCAAAACTAAAACAATTGCCTTTACATACACATTAACTTAGACACCAAAAGTAAACTGCTAACGGTTAAATACTGCACTTCACCTTTCAGTAGCCTTTCAGTAGTGTATATTCTCACATTTATGTAAAGTGGACCTAAACTGTGGAAGCAGTACCCGAAAAGGTAAGTGACGAGTAGCCATTAGTATTTCCCATAGGCTCCCTGTGCTGATCTTTTACCCATTACTGACTGACTTGTTTTATACTCTGTCTCTGTATTAGGATAGCAAGTTTTATAAAGGAGCATGAAATTGCCCCCTTATGTCAGAGCGACCCCCCTCATGATCTGATGACTGATGGAGGAATAATCAAGCATTAGATGTGGAGAAAGTACAGATCCACAGAATGAAGGGAGCAAAAGCAGGGAGATCCTTACACTGCAGCCTCTGGGGTACAGCTACCTCAAGTGCACATAGAACTGTAAGCAGCACAGCGTAATATCACCAAATCTCATTCCAAATATTATGAGAATAACGGCGTTGCACCTTAGATGATCTCACACTGCAGATATACAGCTAACAGCAGAGCCGTAGCTAGCTCCTTTTGCGCCCGAGGCAAGAACAGAAAATTGTGCCCCCCAACAGACGTGTTATGTCACCCTATGCCACGCACGCACGGCATCATGTGACGTCATGCGCCCCGCCTCCAGGATGGCGGCACCAAATGGCATAAAAATTTGTTTAGTTTGTCGAAACTAATGGAAACATTTTTAGTTTCTGTTCATTTAGTCTTTGCACATGTCTAATAGTGTGTGTTTGGGGTGGGTTTTGGGGGCTTCGAGGAAATGTCAGGGGTCTAAACAGATCTCTGACATTTCCCTTTTGAAATAGAAAAAGAGATTGAGGGCACAGAGTCCTCTGCCCATGCAGCAGGGAATGCGAGGAGTAGCTGTGTTGGAGGTTTGGCACCCCTGTTGCCGATGGCGCCCTGTGCTCGCCATGGCAACAGGGGTGAGGGGGTGCAGCCAGGCTGGCCCTGGCTACGCCACATCTCAGCTGCACCTGTGGCGAGTGCCTCACTCGCCCCATGGTAGCTACAGTCTGGCTAACAGGCTCACAGCACAGGAAGTGCACTGATGTTTTTCAGGTGAAATTTGAGAAATCATTTCAATCTTTCAGGGTACTGCTTAGGTATTATTAACATTTCTAGATGTGCCTTATATCATTTAAAATCTTCTCTTTTTTTTTGAGTTAACGTCCCTATCCCTTCTTTATCCAAAACTCTATAAAAAAAGATTGTCTAGAGCTGGGCTTTAACCTGAATTTTCTTTAGTATTGCATGACTTGGGGTTTTGATTTTCAGGAAAAGCAAACTTATAGAGAGAATGCTCTTTGATGAAATGCTCTTTGTATTTTCAGGCCTGGATTCTTTATGTGCACCCTTTCTCTACTTGAACTTTAACAATGAAGGTAAGGGTCTACTACTTTTAAATAAATAAGTAAGTAATGATTATTTTTCATATAATGGCTATGATAAATTATGTTTGTATAACACGGATAGTTGTCTATTACCTGTATTTTGTGCACTCAATCAACAGTGTTGTCTGGCCACCCAGACAGGGTCTTCCACACTTTATGCATCTCTAGCCAAACTTAGAAAAACACACCTCCATCATCAATTTATCTGTTCAAACAAAATCCAACTGCTATGAATGCCATGTGATGGTTGAAGTCACATGTTTTATGACATGTTAATGGCCCAGATTTGTTAGCATATGGATAAGGCAAAAGTTTCCATATTAAAATCCCCAATAATGGCTCCACTGGTCTTATAGTGTTTACAGCATCCTTTGTAGTTGTGCTCTGTATTTCATGAATAAACATATATTGTGCATTCCACAAATATTTAAATAAACATGAACAGCACTACAGCATTTTAGTTTAAACAAAATCACTCACTGACAGTTTTTTGTTTCAAATAAATTCTTTATTTAAAGAGGTATTTTTCCGTGGACTTATTGGTTTTTTTTTTCCACAGTTGTGTCCAAGTATAAAATACATGCATGGCTTCATTGATACAATATAGACATCAGTTGTGGACAGGGAAGCAAAACAATATAAGTAAAAAAAAAATAGAATAAAAATTAAATGACAAGACCCAGACCCAGACCCAGATGGTGGTGGAGGGTCACAGATGTGAGACCCCCAGTGGCGGCCTCCGTCTCATGATAGGGTTTGAAGCATTGCCAAGCTTGTGAACTGGGGGCCCGAATCCCTCATGAGGGTCGGGGTTACAATACTGTATTAGTGGTCTGTAAAGAAGTATACCAGAGGGTGAAGAGGGGGAGAGGTTAGAAGGGGGGTAGAGAGAGGGTTAGAAGGGTTGGGAGGGAGTTAAGGTGGGGGGGGCGGAGACACAGTTAAGCAAGGGGAGGAAGGGGGAAGAACCAGAAGGGGATTCCAGCTTGGTAAGTCATGTCTCTGAGCCTTGGAGCAGTGCCTCATAAGCTGGGGAGTGGAGAAACTCAATCCAGTAGAACCAGGTCTTTCTGAATTTGTCGGGGGTGTGATGGAGGGAGCTGGTAAGGTCTTTATTCCATATATGTCGTGTATCCTATCAAGCCATTGGGGTACGGTGGGGGGTTTAGGGTTCTTCCACAGGGCCGGGACACAAGCTCGGGCCGCGTTAACTAGATGACGTACGACAGATCGTTTGTAGCTCTTCGTCGGTATGTCATTATGCTGCAGGAGGAAGAAGTGGGAGCAAAGGTGGGGGAGAAATTGCTTATAGTAGGTGAGGGTAAAGCCGTCCGTTCTGGGGGCTTTGCCGGAGTGGGTGGATTTGATAGCGAATTCCAATTCAGTGGAGGTGATCGGGGACTCCAGGAGGGAACAAATGGAGGGGTCAAGGGAGTACATGGCAGAATTGGTAATATATTCGGCAATGCGCGTCAACCGGGGTTGGGAGGTGGCAGTGCAGGAGCGAGAGGAGAGATTATAAAGGGACGAGTAATAGTCATTAAATGCGGTGGCTATGTCTGCCGGCGAAGTGGACTTGGTTCCAGGTGGGTGGGTGATGAACGGAATATAATTCCGAATGTGTCGTTTACGAAGGGCATGCGCTAGATATTTGCCACATTGGTTGCCATATTCGTAAAATGACCGCCTGCATTTCGTTAGGGTAGCCTTAACTTTCCGCACCATCAAAGGGGACCTGGCCCTTCTGTCAGGCTCTGTGCATGATGGCTTCCTTCTCTGAAAAGAAGTGTATGCGGCAGAGTACGTCTCTGGGTCTCACATCACCATCCGGCCTGGGGCTCCCGACGCGGTGTACGTGGTCTATCTCCAACGGAGAGTCCGGGGCCTTGTCTAGAATCGAGTTGAGGATGGCGGTCACAGTAAGGCGGAGGCCGGTCGCAGTCGTGGCCTAAGGGAGCCCCCGGAGCTTGACATTGTTCCAGCGGGACCTGTTCTCGAGGTCATCCTGTGCGAGCAGCATGTCAGATAGTTGACGATCGTAGTGAGTCGTTTTCGATTCCAGGCGGTCAATCCGCTGGGCCCGACACGTCTGATCTCTGGACAAGGTGGAGACAGTAGCTTCAAGATGGGAGACGGACTTATGGATGCCGGCGATGTCCCGCTTCAGCGCGGTCACCATCTTGGAGACGATGGCGTCCATATCTTGCCTCGTGGGCAGTGAGAGCAATATGGAGGAGATCTCGTTGGTTGAGAGGGATGAGGGTGCGGCCGAAAACTACAGCGGGGTTGGTGTGAGCGGGAGAATAAGCTCTTCGATGGGGCTGGAGCGATGCGAAGGGGTATGAGGTCGCTGGTATCCGAGGTGGATGGCGAGGCTGAGGCGTCCCGAAGCGGAGGAGGAGAGGTAGGCCCTGGGGCCTTACCCTGCGTGCCGGGGGCCATGGTCCCCTTAGATGAGCTGCGAGTAGAGGATGCAGGGGTGGATAGGTAGGGCTGTAAAGATGTCAGGGCGCTTGCCGTTGTTAGAGTGTGATTTGTTCTACTTCGACATCAAAATCAAGGGTGTGGGATGCCGTGATCAACAGGAAAGTCTCAGGTGGTAGCAGAGCTCAAGCAATGTGCTTCTTCACGCCACCATAGCCAAGCCACGCCCCCCCCCCCCCTGACAGTTAACAAAATGGGAGATATTAGTCAAAATGATTTTCCAGGTTGTTGGGAAATCATAAAATTCAGACCTCTGCAGAATTTTATTACGTACTGTAATCGATACAAATGACCAGTTTAGCAGTTTTTAACTGCTACTCTCCAAATAATAGATGATCAGAAATAACAGTCATTACTCTAAAACTGTAACTTGCAGTTATAAATGATACATTTCCATACAGGGTTTTAGTGACATTTTAAGTCCATCTCTGTTTTTTCTGACAGATGTGATTTTTGCAAGGCAGAGGCATCTTTGTATTTTGTCTGTTATGTTCATTGTGTTACTTGTTACCTTTTGATTGTACATGCCTGACAAGAAAAGATCAGCTTTTTTGTTTGCTGTCAAGGAGATACAGCAGATACAGCGTATGCTTTGCACTCTTGTGCTTCTATTGACTGGTAATGTACACTCAGCTACGCTACGTGGGCAGTGCAAGGTCACCTTTCACTGACAGGAAAAGCATACATGTTAAAGGCTTATCTAGTGAGGCAGCACAAGAACAGTAATGCTTTTGATACCTCTTAGTGACTTTTGTCAGTTTGGGTTACTGCATTTTCAACATTGTTACCAAGCTTACTTTGCTGGTCAATGCTTAGAACACACTTTAACAGTTGCTAGATCTGTTCTTGCTGAACTGTGTGAAAGCATTGCTGACCAAAGCTTAGAACACACTTTCAGAATCACTAGATGTGTTTTTGCTGAACTGTGTGCCTGCATTGCTTGAACACATTTTCAGAGTTGCTAGATCTGTTCTTCTGAGCTTCCTGAATGCATTGCTGGCCAAAACTTAAAACACTCTTCTGCAGTTGTTTGATCTAATCGTGATGGACTATGTACTTGCATTGCTGGCCAATGCTCAGAATACACTTTCAGAGTCGCTAGCTCTGATTTTGCTGAGCTGTGATTATGCATTGCCGGTCAGTGCTTTGAACCACTTACAGAGTCTTTATTCTAAGTGATCAGAGTGATCTATTCCTGCTGAGCTGTGTGAATGCATTGCTGGCCAAAGCTTACAGCATACTTTTGCTGACCAATGCTTAGAGCATGCTTTGGAGCTGATTGATCCAATCTTGCTGGGTTATGTGCCTGCATTGCTGACCAATGCTTAGAACGGTCTTGCATATCTGTCATAAAAAAAAGCACATATGCTGCATAGGGCCAGAGCTAACGATTATTTTCATTATCGATTAGTTGCCCGATTATTGATTGCATCAAATAAAATCTCTCTCTCTCTCCCCTCTCCCCACCAACTAACCGATAATGAGAATAGTTGGCAACGATTCTCTTAATCGATTAGTTGTTGCAACCCTAATGCTACAGTACAACTGCTGTGAGGTACCAATTATTATGGGCAAATTTGAGTCTGTAAAAACATATGGAAAAGGGAAAACAACCTTACAAAGGCTTATTGCAAATGTCCTACTTGACAGTATTATATTTGTCAGAATATAATATTGTCATTATATTTGTTTAGCTGCTGCATGCCTGTTCCAGGTCAGTAAAGCTTGTTAGAACTCCCGATCTGCATTTTTGTTCCATTTCAGTTTGAAAGCCAGTGGATTACAGGCAACCTCCTTTATTAGAAATAGAGATTAGAAGTGGACAATTATGGGGGGGGGGGGGGCAAGAGGGGGTG